GGGCTAGTTAGGATGATCAGCGAACCAGTAAGCTAGCCTTAGGACAGGACACTAAAAGCGCTTCGATCTTTGAGCCTGTAAAATGACATTTGAGGCAGGATGTGGCAGAGCTTTGAAAACACGCAAGGGACCAGGCAACTTGCTCAGCCAGTGCCTTTCATATATCCCGCATTTTGCTGTGCTAACCCAGGGGCATGTCACAGTCAACCTCAGAAATGCAGGCTCTGAAGAAACTGCTCCTGTGAAAACCAGGGTGGTTTGGTTGTTGACTTCAACATGAGCAAGACCTACAGGAAACTCCCTTTTCCTTGCTCTGAACATTTAGCCCTTAAGTGAAGTGGAATTAATACCATTGTGCTGTGTGGCTTGAATCTAGCACAACTGGAGCAGAAGTCAATTTGCTGTATTTGAAAGAAAATTAATTAAGGCCTCGTTTGTTTCCCTCAGAGAGAAAAGCTCTGGGTAGTTTCCAGGAGATGACTTTTTTTTTTTTCCTGAGCTTCTTTGGTACAGGCCTGTATGTACAGAACAAATGTTGTACAGCTTCAAGCTCCAAATCCCTATAAGCTCCAGGCTGTGAGCTGGGTCTTCTGGCTCCCACAATGGTGTGACAGCCTCAGCGGCTGTTCCACAACTGCATGCTGCATTTCAAGTCATAGAAAGGAAAATTATCTTAGAGCAGTGAATACTGGCGGTAGCCCGAGAAGGGAAATGTCACAGCAGGGATGATGCTCTTAGCCTGGTTTAGCCTCACCTGTCCTTCATCAGCAGGCTATGAACTGCGCAGAGAGAGGGCTAAAGGTAGAGACGAGGGGCTCAGCATCATCCCCTCTGCTTCCAGAGTGCCCCAGCGAGGTAGGAGGATGGATGGTGTCCCAAGACTTCTGCTTTACTGTTGTTTTTCCCATGTTGCTTCAATAGTCTTTTGGAGATGAGCTTTTCTATTTGCATTCACTCTGAATATTAATAAATGAGTAATGCCCTGCTAAACATGAAAAGCGTGCATGGGTTCCAGTGTATGATCCTGGGAGTGTAACCAAGGGCTGGGAGAACAGATGTGCACAGAAGGAAGTGGGAGAAAACAAAGCAAAACAGGAGAGCTAAACTGTACAGGAGGCTAGTGGGCTGTGAGGATTTCAGGAGCACTTAAAAACTGATTTACTGCCGCACAAATCCCACTTCAAACAAGTTGCCAATGAGTAGGTCGCATAGGTGTTCTCAGCAAGAAGGCAAAGGAGCAAGAGTGTGCGTGGCTGTCATGTACACCCAAGTGGGAGATGGCGTTTGGCACGCTGCCGGCTCCGAGGAACAAAAGGCAGCTCTGGTGTGATGCCAGCCACCTGCTTTCCCACCGGAATCTGGACGTGGATGGGGGGTTGATGGAAGCAGCCAAAGGTGAGTAGCTCTCCTGCATCTTAATAGTAAGAGTTTCAGAGCTGTCTCGCTAAGGAGAAAAGGTTTGTGAAGGAGCCCTCGGAAGCCACGAAGTCTTTGGTGACTGAGCTGGGTGCTGAAGGGTCTCTGTAGCAGCTTGTTCTTGGAGTGGAGCTGTCTCAGTCTTTTGGCTGGCTGGCTGGGCAGCTCTGCGGGGGAAGGAGCAAATGGCATGGAGCAGGTACAGCACTCCCTCCTCGTCTGCAGGAGCACATAGCACCAGGGAGGAGCACATGGCACAGGATGGTAATGTTACCAGGGCTCATGGGCAAGGATGGGTTGTGTCACAGCCTGAGGTAACATTATCTCTTAGGCTATTTTTTTCTCCTCTGATAGTGCTTGGACTGTCATGAGACTTTTTCCAGCTGAGCACTACCATCAGGAATCATGTTTTATCTGTGGCTTCTCTCTCAGAAGTGAAATTAACTTGAAATTGGGGTCATGTTAGATATGTGGCACCTGGACAGACATCGATAACCTGAAGTCCATCACAGGATGGAAGCGATGGGCAGGTCTGTGCAAGAGGGTGAAAGGTACCGTCTGTTTTCACAAGGATGTGAAGGGCTTTCAGCAGTTTGAAGGAGAGGATAAGAATTTCGTGGCTGGGATTAAAAAGGTGTTTCTTTTATCTGGATAATCCAGTGGCAGGTCTGGATCTGGAGGGCAGCAACCGTCCCTGCGGGGGACTATCAAGGCGTGCAGAACAGCCTGTGTTTGCTGCACTAGGAGAGATGCTTCGTATTGCTGTAAAATGGGGCTTCACCACCCGGCCTCCCCTGCCATCCCACTGCCGCAGGTTTGCCAAGGGGACCGGGGTGAAACGCGGTGTGGGGTGCCCCACGGCCCCCATGTATGGGCCGCCTTCTTCCCCCGGCCCCCTGCCAGCGAGTCGCAGCCTGACCAAATGCCTGCAGCCTGACCGAATGCCCGTCGGCGTCTCTGCCAGGAAGGAGCGTCTTGAAGGGCTAAGACTCAAGTGATGATAGTAATACTCCTTCTGTGGAATAAAAGCGACATCCATAACCAGCAGATAAGAAATGAATTGTTTAATCAGGTGGGGCTGCACAAAATAAGCATGCTTTGACCCTCCGGTGAAGTTTGGCAGCTTTCATGCTTTAAAATTTCTGCTACCCAAAATTAAATGTTTCAATGAATTTTTTCTTTTTACTTCTATTCAAGCAACCTGAAAGCCTTTGAACATCAGGAAAATTGTGCCAAAACACCTGTGCTGAGACCGTATGCTTTTCACCTGGGAGAGAGGCATGCTGGTAGTGGCAGCTCCCGATCTTCTATATTGACACAGGTGTAATAAAGGGAAAATATTTCACCTCCCTGTTCAGAACCTAGAGCCCAAAAAGAATGTAATCAGTAGGTCACAAGCACTGGGCTGTGAAGAGGGAAGTACCTATTTTAGGGGCAGTTGGTGGCATTTACTTCCTCTGAAGCATCGGCTGTTGGCTAACGCTGGAAACAGAATATTGGATTAGACGAATCGGTGGTCTGATGCAGTGTGGTAAATCTGATGTAAAAGGCATTAGTTAATGTCTGTGCGATACTTTGGATATATAAGATAGGCTGTAAATGCTGATTTCTGTGATTCCACGATAAACAAAAAACCAAGCACAGTCACATTAGTGTATCTGAGGTCCCAAAGGAAGAGCGTTGTATTTTTTATTATGGCTTGATACAGTTATAAAAAGAAATCTGTATGAATGAGAATTAAGGAAACAAAGCATAGCACAGAAATTAAGAAGTACTTGCTAAATATTTAAAACCTTTAACTGGTTGAACCCCAAAATATGAACCAGCCCCCAGTGAGAGGCCATTTTAGTGAGGATTTGCCAGGAGTTGCACCTTTCTGTGTACGTTAATGCCATGAGTAGAGGGAGCAGTGTGGCTGCCTCCTCACAGCTCTTATCTTTCAGAGGTGCGTGGGTTTCCGAACTTTTCCTCCAGGTCCAGGAGAGCTGCACCAACAGGCCAAACCAGAGCAAAAAGCAAAGGTGGAAGGGACAGAGTGAAAATACTGGCCTGTGTCCAAGATTTCACAAAAAGAGCAGCTGTGTGAATCGGCAGGTTTGTGTGCAGCTCTAGCTTCCAGTCTCTTCCTTCCTGCCTTCAGGCATGTTTTCTGGGTGACCATGTAGTTTTTTCCTGCTTTTTGAAGTGCTTCCAAGGGGAGTATTTATAGGGAATGTTTTGTCATGTACCGTGTTCATCTCCTATACCCAATCAAGTGGTGCTAAGCCATTTCTCTAGCCTATTTTGGGCTTTTACTATGAACGATCGTTGTGATATTGCAGAAAAATAGGAAAAGTAAACTTCCCTCCCCCTTTCCAGTACAGCCGTGTATGCTTCCCCCATATAAGAGGCAGAACACCTCACTCTCCACAGTAAGATAAGAATAATGTAGCAGATCTATAGAAGGTAAGTGTTAATTCAAGGAAGACAAAGGAAAGCAAAGAGAGAGATCCTTCCTGATTCCCTGCGCGCACTGTTGGATACAGAAGTGAAGCGTTGTCTTGGGAGAGGCCGTAAATAGCAGACGAAGGGAGAGGAGGCAGCAAGAAGGAGCAGAACTTCCCTTGCGCCTGCGTGCACCAAAGCCCCGTGAGCGTGCTCTCCTCCGCCAGCAGCCGCTCGGCCTTGGACCTTCCAGCCAACAACCTGTCCCCGCACTGGAGGACGGGGCCAGGTGTGGCTTGGGTTTCCACAGGCCTGCCACACCAGCAGGGTTGGGCTGGGAGGGCAGCCGGAGAGACAGGGCATGGGACGGGTCTGTGGTATATTCACAGCGACTTGCCCGTGGCCGAGCCTCTCCCCTGCCCAAGTTCTGGCAGGATTCACGGCCACAGCAAAGGCAACGGGCACCTCGCTGTGAGATGAGCCCCTCGACCTGGGGTTGGAAACGCAAGGGAACGGCTTCGATGTCGCAGCAGCGTTCTCCCCTGCTGCTGCGGAGCCGCCGCCGCTGCGGGAGAAGCGCAGCAGAAGGCGGGAGGAGCCCCCGCTCCGTTCACCGCCGTTGCTCCCAGGTGCCGGCCCGAGACCGAGCGCCACGTGTCGGTGCAGCGGGCAGGGAAGGGGAGGGGGTTTGCGGCGTTCCCCCAGGCCTCCAGCAACCGCGCCTGCCGGTCGCGGTGGGGCTCCCGCTGCTTTGCTGCGGCTCGTAAGTCGGAAGCGGCAGCTGCCGGTTAACGCGGCCCTTCCCTTTCCCCTTCTCCCCCTTCTTCCTTCCCCCGCCGCC